ATTTTAGAAACCCTGTAAAGGGTCACTATGAATTAGAATCGATCCATCGGCAGTGGTTTTGGCAACTAGTAAGAAAGCATTTGAAAGGGTGAAAACTTGACTTGTAGACAAACTAAAAAATATTTTACTATTTTCAGTTATGGGTGCAGGTAGTCCTAGTAGAATAATGGTTAAACCCTGGCTGCTAATAGAAAGATTAGCAGTTTGAATCCGCCAGCAGCTATGGTGGGGAAAGTTACCGAGCAGTCTGCTCCCATAAAAATTATAGCTTAGAAAGCCCTATGGGACAGCCCCACTCTGTTAGATAGAGTCACTGTAAGTGAGAATCAATTCCAAAACACATAACAGTTACAGGTATTAACTAGAACTAATGGGGAAAAATAGATTATATCAGCAACACTGTTATTAAATTGCAAACCTTAAATCTAACTCCATATCAGCAGCCTATATATTTAAATCCTTAGATTTGATTTCAAGTACAATCTATTTCTTACTGATAATTTTAGTTACAACTTCTCCCTCAAACCCCTGTTTTACTCCCTGATATTGCTTTCTTGTATGTCGCCACTGTTTCAGAAGGGCCCGTAAATTCTTCTGAGAGCAGGGACCTTGTCTTACTCAGCATGTTAGCATGCTGTGTCCTAACACAGACACAGTGGCTAGCACACTGTGTGGCGGCATGTGTGCTAAATAAAGATTTACTTTTTACTACTAACACTAAACTTCGGACCACTCAGCTTTTTAAGTAAATTGCAAATCATCAAAATTTTGAAATGTTAACATAAGGCCAAATTTGCAAATACTAGAGCTGCCCTCAGTTTAGTTCACTTAGTTGGCGGCCACTTGAGGTTGGCATTAAGAATACATGGAAATTTTCTTGTGTAAAAAAGAAAAATTACCGCTGGAATTGCCTAATATTTCTGATAGTTTTTCACGAGGTCCAGAGGAAAGAACGGAGCCATTCTTCGCTCCCCCTTCCCTTCTTTCGGAGTACGTGAATTATCGCCTCCTTAGACGGGGCCTGGTCTCACCGTGCCACTATGAAAAGACTGCTTGAGACTCGAGTTTCCAATCGTTGAAGTGTCAACTGTTCAGCCTCGTTAATTTTGCTGAAACATCTCTGGGGGTAGAGCTCAGTGGAAATAAGTAGAAAAATCAAATTCCATGATACAAATGTTCATCTCCCAGAGAAGCTAAAGATTAGCATGGCTTCCCTATCATTTTATGAATTTCCCCAAGAACCAGATTCAAATAATCAGTGAAGAATTATATTCAGTTACTCTGTGCTCTGAAATGTCTCCAATAAGATATTAGGTCAGAGGAAAGAATGTCTTTTATAATAATCTTTTGATTTCCTTTGGATAATTTATAAGTTTAAAATATACACGCACTCATTCTATTCCTAATTGTTTACTTAATGATGGTTAAAATGTATATTTCAGAGGTATTCATGGACATATTAGAAACTATATAAGTGTACTACATTGTTTGATTAATCTATTGTACTGAAAATTCACAAATTATACTACAAATATTGTCGTCAATAAAAATTTATTTCTGTTTTAGTTCTGAGTCACTAATATTGTCTTGCTTCATGTTAAGTTTGCTATTGTTCAGACCCAAGGTAGGAAATTTGTTACCAAGTAATAAAATGGTGCTTAACTAGGCACTCAAATTTTATCAGGAGAAGAAATTAAGTACAACATAATTATTAGAGAATAAATAATAGAATTTTCAACTGTCCCCTCATAGGGAACTGTCAAAAACCACTAGTCTTAAAAAAACTACAATAAATTTTAATATAATTTGCATTTAGACACATTTACCATTAAAACAAAAAATGAAAACAATTGAGAAATGGATGCATAAGTACAATGTAATTAATCCATTTAGAAAGGCATTCTTTTGCTACCACTGCCTATGTTTTACAGAGTAGTGATTTAAAATGCAAAATTTAGTACTTTAGTGATTACTTTTAAAAAACAGAAAAAGATTGAATAATGCTAGCTAACTATAAATAAATGGAAAAAACCATAAAGCAATCAAAAGGTTAACGATACATTTAATTGTAAAAAGGCTGAAAGCAGTATGGATTAAAATAAAGTTTACATGAAAATGGACACATACATAAAATATTGATGGTTTTTCGTCATCATCAATATTGATTGATGAAGAAAAAATATCGATGGTTATTTGTGATAAGAGGTAGCATGGCATTCCTTTTTCTTACTTCTTTTTGTTCCTTCTCACTATCTGAGATGCTCCAAAATTTTCAGTCAGGTGGAGAAAAGCAGCATATAAAAAGGAACAGTTAAGAGTGGCATTGATTCGTTCAGAATATGACACATTCCCCTTCAGGGGTGTTAAAACCTAGCTGAAGGGTTTATCACACTTTGCCAAAATTGGAAAAAAATATCAGTGATGAGTCTAATTGCTGGAAGCAGTTTGCAAAGCTCCTTAGAGGAAGCAGTTCCTCCCTCTTTGCTGCCCTGGCTTTGAAAGTTTAGTAGTTAAAATCCCACAATGTTAGAGAATTCATACACCTCTGAGCTATTTTATTCTACTTCTGAACAATTCTTTATAATTTAGGAAGCTTTTCCTTCAAATGAATGAAGTTCTCTCTTTTAGTATTTCTTCTTACTGGTTTTGCCTCTATCCTTTGGAAGGATCCTATAGAATAGAGCTCATCCTGCTTTCATAAACACTGTACTCAAACACGCACATGCTCATGTGGTCACGGTATTCTCTCCTCATTCGCTCTTTCCTTCCATCTACTTGACGTCATGTGAATTTTCCTTATCCCCCTGGTTGCGCTGCTTGAAGAATACAGCTTGGTCCGGCAGCTCTCATACTTGCGTGCAATCAGAATCACTTGGAACACTTGTTAAAACACACATTACTAGATTTCACTCCCAGAGTTTCTGAATAAAGACATCCTGGATGGGTTCCAAGAATTCTCATTTATAACAAATCCTTCAGTACGGATGCTTGTGATCTAGAAATCGAACTTTGAGATCTATTGCAGTAATCTCTCTAACGAACAAGACCAAAAAAGAGTGGTCCTCGTGTAGCTGATCACGCTGTGACCTCCCCTCACTTCTCTCATTAGACTTCTGGGAGTGCAACCACCCGGTGTGACAAGAGCTCTGCTGGCAGTCATACCGGGACAGTGCGTCACCAAAGGCCCTAGTCTACCGACTCCCAGTATTTTTTTCAGTAGCATTTGTCAAGGATCCACATTTTCCTCATATGTCTGCAATTCTGGGTCCAAAATGGAAATCTTTATCTTCAATAGAGTCCCTTTTGCTTGCACTTAAAGAGTAGATCTGTGCTATGATGACTGGAAAATGAATACAGATTTCAGAGAAAAGCCAAGAAAAAATTATAGAGAAAAGTGGATTGGCTGCCAACTGTATTGTGCAATCTGCCCACTTCATAAAGACCCCCAGTTAGGGGTGAGAATGAGACTGCACAAAATGCAGCATTTGCTTTGCTCACCAAGCCACTAAACCTGCCACAGACTAGAGAGAGTGGTGCTCATTCCAATTTACCGTCACAAATGAAGTGTCTTTTGCAAGTCAGACAAAAGCAACTGAGTGCTACGTAAAATTTGGTTTGGAAGCTAAAATGTATTAAAGGATTCTTTCGGATTTGTTAAGATATAATCAACTGTCCAGAATACAGAACCCCAAATATGACAGTGGGATTGAATCTTTGAGAAGCATCACTGTATGCTCCAACGTACGTTTGTGTTTGTGTCCCAACACTTTTGTGTCTTACCTACACTTTTTCTCAAGACTTTCTAAATGATCGAGTTGGGAAGTGCCAATGGTTCAACAAAATGTTGGCAATTAAACCTTCTCAGAGGTGCCTGGCAAGACAGGTCTAAAGATCTGCTTCTGAAATGTAAAGTGATGATTAGAAAGAAAACCTGCCCCTTATATTTAATCAAGCCAAGTCATGGAGGCAAACATTACAGAGGACAGATCAGATTATTACTAACAGGACAGATTAAATCCAAAACACCAAACTCATTGTGGCCAATTCTAAATAGAAATATTCCAGAGGGCTTCAAGGCTGTAAATCTTTATGGAAGAAGACTGCCAAATATTTCTTACACTGAGTGGCTTGTGGATTGATCTGTCAACGTTTGGTTTGGAGTTGAGCACCTTAACCAGGGCAGATTAGAATATTGAAAATTGGGAGATTCAACAAAACAGAATTAATTTTATTTCCTCATAATCATAATTAATGAAATAGGTTTTTCTAGTCTCTTTCTTTTATTTATACTACTGTGGTGAAGTGAAATTACTTGATATGGCCT